TGGTATTTCACTGATTAAAAAAAAACTAAATTCTCAGTGTAAATGATTCATTGTTGATATTAGTGTTTACTTTGTGTTGTAATTGACAACCAACACTGGAATCATACTGTCTATTCAAACTTAATTGTTTGTACTGTTACCTTCAGATATGCCACTCGGGATGGAAACACAACAGTGCACTTATATAGAAACTTTAAAGAAAGGAAAGCTTTCAAGCCAGCTTTTGGAGCAGAAGGTTTGTCTATAGCCATATTAACAGTTGACCTCATTGCCAAACATTGATGTAACACATTGAACAATATACCCAAACATTCAATTTCTCTGGAACCTAAATAGACATTGAATCTTTGGGTATATTGTTCAAATATTTGAACACATTTGCAGGCAGTCATTCCCATAGACTGGGCATATTTTTCCAGTGATATAGTACAATCAAAATATTCTTGTATTTTTTTCTTCAAAGACCGGGACTGTGTTTACCGATAATATTTTGTTATTGTTGTTGGTTATAGGTATTTATGGTGGTTATTTACTGGGTGTACGTTCATCAAGTGGATTGGCATTCTATGATTGGGAGCAAAATGAACTCGTGAGAAGAATTGAAATCAGTCCAAAATTGGTAAGTTTAGGAGTAAAAGCCAACATTAAAGTGCCTGTGAAATGGCTGCTATTTTCACGCATAAAATTATCCATTGATACATAAATATTATTAATTTTTATGTTTCTAAGCATGAATTATTGTTTTAAATGAAAAAATGTGTTTTAAACTCAATCTACGGCAACTTTATTTTTGTGTATTTTAAAACGAGGCTCCTCATTAGCTTCTTATTTGCATACAGAAATTCCCCTTGTGACGTCAAGTCAAGGGGAAGTCGCATGGCAGCTTGCATTGCCGATACGTGTAAATACGGCAAATTTCTTGTGCAGTTTTCTTGTCTTTGACTAAATTATCACTTATGTACTTGTTCGTCGAGGAGGAATGGACCATAATGAACACATAGAATCAATTTTTGTTGCATGGGGTTGAGTTAGATGCGAAATATGTCCGTTCTGGTGTAGCTGGTCGCCGTGATCGTCACCGACGCACGTTTGTACACAGAGTGGATTCGAGTTAGCGTGATCCATGGCGTAATTGTCATAATTATAACATCATATTAAAACTTTATTTAGTGGAAACACATTGGCCAAGCCTGGATTCTTATTATTACGCAGATCAAGCATGATTATGCATGGAGGTAAAAAAAGAACAGAGGTGTGAATTCGACATTCAACACCAATCACCAAACGATTCAGAAACTTTTAGCCTTCGAAAATGAAAACAATTAGCAGTGTGTAAGGGCTGTGTAATTTCCTGTTTGTCCGACGCTTCGTTTTCGTGTCACTGTCAAAATTATTGCTACTCTTTACTTAACAGGGACTAAATGGTCTCTATAAAACAATAATCAAGATCGCAAAAACAGTCAACTCATTTGAAGGTCCATGACTGATGTCGCACTTTCAGATCGATTAGAAACGTGTGAATACTTACACTATGACTATATGTTTCACTGCAACTGCCCATAACACAACATCTAAAAACTCTCTCTCAAAAAAAAAAAAAAGACCAAAAAAAAAAGAAAAAAAAAAACGCCGACCGAAAAATGTATATCGTTTAAAAGTATACTGAATGACCAGTGTTATTACGGCTCAGGGGTATGACTTCCTCTCACATTTTGGCATTTGGTGGCGCACTTTCGGCGAGAGTCGGAAATCCGGAAACAGTCGACAGTTTCAGGATAGGTGGGCGTGGCTACAACACGAGAAACATCTCAAATTTACTTGGATACGAGATTTCAGCAAAAAAATCAATAACTGCCCATTTCAGTGGGACACAGATCTAAAATGGGAAACGTGAAGGTGGGTATTGCACAGGCACTTTAAAGCGCCAGTTCTATTGAAATAATAAAACTTCATTCAAAAGTTGACTTTGCGTTTGGTCAAATGTTAAAACATTGTTCTAGTTTATTGCACAAACATTTTCCAGGTTTGTCATGTTTCATATATTTGATCATCAGTACTTTTACTTTGTAAGAGTGATCCTAACTGACTTCTATCTTTGTTTCAGATATTCTGGTCTGACAACGGTGAACTAGTGTGTATCACGACTGATGAGTCATTCTTTATTTTAAAATACAATGCTGAGGCTGCTTCCAAAGCACAAGAAACAAATGAAGGAATCACAGAGGATGGTGTTGAAGATGCATTTGAGGTCTGTCAAATTGGATTCATTTTTGTTTCTGCATATGTATTTCAAATCTTTATTTGGAGGAACAAATAAGCTTTTTTTGGTAGTGTCCTAAAATTCAAACAAAAACTTTAATGCATGTCACTACCTCCAAATGTTGGCAGTAAGTTATGGAGTAATATTTGAGTTGATGTACGGTGGTATTTTATTACAACTTTACTAATAAAATGTGTGTTATGGCCAGTGTGTTTTTGTATGGGTCTCAAAAAGAAACTCCCAACACTGAAATAAGGTCATCCAGTTAGTATAGGGGTGTGTGCACTTACCTAAATAACAAAGGTGTGTCTATAGGGAAAAATAAAGTATTTTGATGATCTAAATATATACAATACAATTGTTGGTGTATGTGCTATTATATTGGAAATGTACTTCTAAAAGTTCAAATAAAACTTAGCTTGAAGGACATAATGCGTGCCATGGTGGTTGTTCTCATACTGCATGATGTTGCTTCGTTAACAGTGAAGTGTACATACAATAACAAAAATATAATAAATATATGCATGATATTTCCATTATTATTATCATCATGTTACTCTGACCACCATTATTTCTCTAGGTTATTGGTGAGATTGAAGAAATTGTGAAAACTGGTACCTGGGTGGGAGACTGTTTTATCTACACAAACTCTGTAAACAGAATTAATTATTATGTTGGTGGTGAAATAGTTACAATATCACATATGGACAGGTAAGAATACAAACAAGTATCTTAATGTAAATGAGGATATTAGAGTCCTAGAATTGGTGTGTTTATCCCTCTTTAATTTGGCTGTTGAGAACAATAATTAATTCTCAGTATGTATAAGGAGTGATTGCATATTAAGTTGTTGCTGCATTGATAGCTTGCCAATCAAAGTCTGAACCATGTTAACTAGTTGCTTGTATTGGCGAACATTGTTTAGCACAGTGCCAATCAACACAATACACAAAGTAGAAAAATAAATCTTTTACCTCATAACATAAACATTCAAGTATAATGCTTTTTTTCTCCAGAGTGATGTACATATTAGGTTATATCCCACGTGATAACCGTCTATATCTCGGTGATAAAGAACTCAATGTTGTGAGTTACTCGTTGTTATTATCGGTGTTAGAATACCAAACTGCTGTCATGAGGAGAGATTTTGAAACCGCTGATAAAGTTTTACCCACAGTTCCACGAGAACAGAGGACAAGAGTTGCACACTTCTTAGAAAAACAGGTATATATACTTGTATTCATTTGGACACATTCATTTATATATTGTTAAGATACCAGGAAAATGACAGTAGGAAGGAAGCTTTAGGGTGTCTGCATGAGTAACCTTTCAAATATCAAAATCAACTTTTGCGACATATATTTTTTCTTTTGGTACGCTGGTATTTTGTCTTTACAGAACATTGGTCATGTCGCCTTTTGTTATGTTTTGCACAGTGAACTTGTGTTTCAACCTGTGTGTGTACATACATGCATCTGTTCCTTGTGTCTCCACCTGTTTCTCCGACATGCCTGTATTGATTACACTCAAACTTTACAAATACATCACATGTTGGATGACACATGCATGCCCATTCGTTTCATGATCCGATGACCAAATATTTAAAATTAAGCAAAACCAAGCATTTCTGCCATTCTGGTCAAGTATAGATGTTTTGTTTTTAGTTTGGTACAAACATTGGACAGTATAGAGCCATAGTGCACGTACGTCTGTTATTTAGATCATATTCAAAATGGCCAACTAGTGAAGGCAGTTCCGATACTATATCTGACATGTCCAGACCAATCATGTTCAAACTTTATATATACATGTTGTATATGTGCATATTTATTCATTTGCCTATCTGAATCAAGATGGCAGAGTTGTATTTGTTTTAATGTTAAAAATCTTGGTCATTGCATAGACAGATTTTGTTCAAACTTTGTATGTACATTGTACCTTTTGGGAGACCTTAATGCTGGTCACTTTGTTTGTCAGATCAGTCTCAAAATGTCAGACTGGTTGTTTTGTTTTAGTGAATGCAGTTTCAGAGCCATACCTCTGACATTACCTCTGACTGTTTATGTTCAACCTTTATATATTTCTTAAACTTGAGAACTCACTATGTAATGCAATTGATTGTTAGATTTTGTTATTAGGATAACGACAAATTAATCCCACTTGTGTCAAATGTTGAAACCACATTTTGACAGAAAGGATTATGTCAGTCAAAAAGTTTAGAGCCTGTCATTCGTACACATTGATTCTCTTGATATTAAAATTTAGTGGGAATTTAATTTAATAATTTTAAGACACAAATAGAGCAATTTCCCCAACAAAACCACTGTGACTCTACATTTTAAAGACTTGCAATGAGTAATATTGACATGTTACTTTCTTTTTACAGGGTTTCAAACCTCAAGCCTTAGCTGTATCTACAGATCCTGAACATAGATTTGAATTAGCATTACAACTTGGTGAACTCAAGATTGCATATGATATAGCCAAAGAATCAGAGGTAAGTACATTGTGCTAAATATGATGCAAGTTAATTGCAATGCCAGCGTCTGCTATTGTCAGGGATTGAGTTATGTGATCTAACTTTATGAAGAATTCAACCCTTTTTTATGACAGATGAAACCAGTCTACAACTATCCTTCCCCTTGATATTTGGAACTATAATAGTTGTGATTTACACATTTCCTGCTTGCTGGAATGTCTGTATCTGTGCGACTGACTTATTACAACTGCAAGTTCTTGAGCTGTTCATTTTCCAGGGAAGTTTGACAGTTGATTTATATGGAGCTTGAGCTGAAATGGAAATATTAGTTAAATATATATTATTTGAGTTCACATTCAGGATGTCTCCTACTCTCAGAACAAAATAGGGATTTTTTGCTGGGGGCCCTTTAACTCATTCATTACTGCACAAGGCCCCTTAAATTCCTCATTATCGTACAGTACATTTCTGAAAACAAGTAAGGGACTGTAGATATTTTTAGGGGCCCAAGCCTGTATTCTTATTGTCCGTTTTTTTCTTTCTTTCGTAACTTTTTTGTCAAGCCGTTTGAGAAAACCGCTGAACCGAATAGTCTGAAAATGCTCTATATTGATAGTCTCTAATATGAACTGGTGCAACATGCTTTCAGAATTTTGATTGGCCAATTAGTTTGGCAGCCATATTGGATTGAAATAAAACCGGAAGTGGCTGTTTGACCACTTTCTGAGGGTCTAGGCGTCTAGATTTCTTTATGGTATATAGTACAACTCATGTGTAATAAATATCAGGAATAAAAACTTCAGTGGTCACGTGACTTTTCCCGTCATTTTGTTTTTCCTAAAAACGGCAAAAAAACACTTAAAAATCTTCTTCTTCAGAACCACCGAGTAAAATGTTCTCATATTTAGTACTTAGCATATAGAGCAGATTTAGATTTGAGAAATTCATTATGATTGGTCATGTGGTTTGGCCGCCATTTTTGGTTTGTTCTCAACAGGAAGTAGTTTTTTACTCATGCCACACTGGAGGGATTATCTTCAATATTGCTGCATGGCATCTCTATATCAAACTCTTTCAGAAACCTAAAAAAGATTGCAGATCAGTCACATGGTTTGGCCGCCATCTTGGATTTTAGGCAAAATTGACCAAAAGTTTGGGCATTTGTTTCTCAGAGGTGATTCAACCAATCTAGTAGATGTTCTATTAGATTTTCTCCATATGAGAAAAATAATATTATTTTGATCAGTCACATGGTTTGGCCGCCATCTTGGATTTTGTGAAAATAAAAACTACATGTTTTGTATTAGTCTGATTTCATTTAAATTTTGTATGTGCATTTGTGTCATCAGATGCATCATTTTGCCCCAATAGCACACTGCTAGGCCACGTGGCTGGGCACCCATGGGGTGGGGCTTCTAACATCATTAATATGCATATCTGTTATAACTTAAGCACTGTTGCAGTTAGGAAAATGAATCCTGTGTTATTATGACAATGTTGAACAAGAGATTTGATTAAAATAACAGATGACCATATATGGTCATGTGAGCTCATTAATATGCATAACTGTCATATCTCAAACACTGCTGCAGGTAGGAAGATGAATCCTGTGTTATTATGACAACGTTAAATTAGAGATTTGATATATGGTCATGTGAGCTCATTAGTATGCATAACCTTTATATCTCAAACAAATATATGGAACCAACTGCATTTCGACCTCATGGTACTAATCATTCAAACTAACCAATTGTGTATCATTTGACCTCATTATTTTTGACTCCCATGTGCGAAGCACATAATGGGAGTCTTTGCAGTTAGTGTGTCTGTCTGTGTGTGTGTGTGTGTGTGTGTATGTGTGTCCGACTGTTCCACTGCTATCTCAAGAACCATACATCGGTTTTTGATGAAACTTGGTGCATAGATGCTCTGGGCTAATGCGCAGATTTGATTAGGTTTTGGTAAAAATCCATGCTCGTTAATTACCTAATTTGCATGATAATTAGCTGTTCTATGACTGTTCCACTGATATCTAAAGAACCACTCATTGGATTTTGATGAAACTTGGTACATAGATGCTCTGAACATATGCGCAGATTTGATTAGTTTTTGGTAAAAATCCGTGCATATTAATTACCTAATTTGCATGATAATTAGCTGATTTTTAGCTGTTCCATGATTGTTCCACTGATATCTAAACAACCACTCATTGGATTTTGATGAAACTTTGTACATACATGCTCTGAACTAGAGCTAGGTTTTTATTAGTTTTTGGTAATAATCCGTGGATATTAATTACCTAATTTGCATAATGATTCGTCAATTTTCGTTTTTTCCACTGATATCTCAAGTACTAATTATCACATTTCAATGAAACTTGGTACATAGATGTCATATGACACTGCACAGACCTGATAGTTTTTATGGTAATATCAGTACATATTAATTACCTAATTTGCATAATTAATTAATTTTCAGCATTTGATATAAGTAGTGGGCATTACATTTCAATGAAACTTGGTACTTACATACTATGCAGAGATTGATTGTTTTCGATAAATATTTGTGCATATTAATCACCTAATTTGCATAATTAGTTAATTTTCAGCTTTTCCACGGGTATCTCAAGTACTAATCATCGCATTTCAATGAAACTTGGTACATAGATAATTTTCAGCTTTTCTACTGATATCTAAAGTACTAATCATCACATTTCAATGAATCTAGAATTATGCAGACCCAATTAGTTTCCGGTAAATATTTGTGCATATTAATCACCTAATTTGCATAATTAACCAACTTTCACACTGATATCTCAGGTACTATACATCACATATCAATGAATGTACATGGATGCTGTAGGACAATAGACAGACCTGAATAATTGTGGGTTACAATCTGTACATATTAATTACCTAATTTGCATAATTAACCAATTTTAAGCTTTCACACTGATATCTAAAGTACTAATTATTCCATTTCAATGAAACTTAGTACAAAGATGCTCTAGGACAATGTACAAACCTAATTAGTTTGGGGTAAAAATCTGTTCATATTAATTCCCTAATAAGCATAATAATTCATAATTTTTTGGTTCTAATCACATTTCAATTAAACTTGGAGACATAGATTTTCTGTTACATTGCGCAGACCTCATTAGTTTTACACTCAAATCTGGTCATATTAATTTTCTGATTTGCATAATTAGTTTTCAGCTAAGTAATTTCAAATTATATTTAATGTGTCTCCAATACTCTCAGCACATGGGAGTTCTTTCTAAGCTTTCTTTGATTGGAATATATGTTTGAAAGCTTGGGCCCCTGTGACGCTGCTTGCAGCTTTAATTATGATCATTATTTTTTCTATTTTATCCTCTTTATGGTCTAGCTTCAGTAGTCTACATCACAAGTAATTATTTTTTCTCTCTCAAAAAACAGCAAATTCATACGTTTTGTATTGAAATCCCTTTGAATCAAAAGTTTTCATGTAAATTTGAGAAAGTTATTGGCAATTGCAGTTTAATTTAGGCTGAAAAGTTCAGGTGCAAGACAAGTTTACAAGAAAATGAATAGGAACAGGAAAAACAGATTTACAGTTATTTAATCTTGTTTGTTTTGCTCACTATCATTGTTTGTTTACAGAGTGAAGAGAAATGGAAACAATTGTCAGAGTTGGCGACGTCTAAATGTGAATTTAAACTAGCAGCTGAATGTTTACATAATGCACAGGATTATGGTGGACTGTTGCTATTAGCAACATGTACTGGAGATGAAACTATGGTCGGAAAACTTGCAGAAGCTTCAAAAAATGAAGATAAAACCAACGTAGCTTTTCTTTCACATTTCCTTCTTGGAGAGTAAGTAATTTGAAGACAATACAGCAAAGCAAAGCAAAGTTTGGCTCTACCCTCTTCAACCTTAAACTTTACTCCTAACCCACTCCAACATAGTCCATCATTGCATAATACCTTGGGTCCCTTTGTCCAAATCAATTCTGCATACGCTAGCCTTCTTTCATTTCAACCTTGCTCAATCTAGCTTGTGCTAGCTTTCCTGTATGATTCACATAGTTTTGCTGAAGCGGTCTATCCATGGCCATCCATATAAATAGGAGAAGCTCTATTTGACCTCAGTTTAATCAAATGATTTGATTGGGCACGCCAAAGAGCTGAATCCATCAATCAGTGTTCCCGTAACATTTTCAAATTTAAATAGTTTTTTGTTACCATAGACTTTGTGAGTTTGTGTTACATTTACTTTGGGAGACACATTGTTGTTTGATTTCATTAACAGTGAATACCGGTTTATAGTGTGAATTCTTCCAAGGTATAATAGTGAGGTGAAGGCCAAATTAATGAACCTTGGCTGGTGTAAGTGTGTTGCCTCATCCTGCTTAATTCAAGTACCTAACTCTCTTATTCTATATTGCCTTATTCCTTCTCCATCTCACTTCAACTGTACACAATCCGATCTAAGCATGGCTCATCCCACTTCATCCATGCTTCACCTCAAGCCAGCCTATCCCAGCTTCATCCCACTTTATCCCAGTTCACCTTAAGCCAGCCTAATCTTGACTCATCCCACTCTATCCTGGCTTTACCTCACGCCAGCCTATCCTAGCTTCATCTCAATTTATCCAAGCTTCATCCCAATTTATCCCAACTTCATCCCACTTTATCCCAGTTCACCTTAAGCCAGCGTAATCTTGACTCATCCCACTTCACCTCAGGCCAGCCTATCTAATCTATTGTACCCTACCCCAGATTCATGCAATCTCATTCATCCTAGCATATGTTAATTTTGTTATTGTAGGACTGAACAGTGTATAGAATTACTCTGTAAAACTGGAAGGCTTCCAGAGGCTGCATTTCTGGCTAGGACGTATATGCCTAGTAAAATCTCGGGGTAAGTTGTATATATCTGTCTTGTGCTTAATCATTTGATTGTGTTATCTGGTGGATGCTGTAATATTAAAATATTGTACAGGTACAATTTTATTAACCCTTTCAACGAGATTTAGTTTTTGTCACCTCTAACAAAATAAACCCATATAACGTTTTTATTACTTTTTTCAAAATTTTGATGAAGACCTTGCAGGATACTGTCTCTTTAGTCCAAAAAACAAATTTTGTACATAAATAATATTCAAAAGGTTTGTTGCCTGCTAGTTGACTGTTGCCACCAAAACTGATATAGTGATGTCTCATTATGTATGAATTAGAGAAAACTAAGGACATATTATTATAAATATATTTATAGGTATTATTATTATTACATTATTATATAATGGTGTTATTTTATTTTGTAGAATTGTTAAATTATGGCGAGAGAACCTTGCACAGACCAACAAGAAAGCAGCACAATCGTTAGCTGATCCCACAGAGTATGAGAATTTATTTGTAGGTCTGAAAGAAGCTTTTATAGCAGAAAAATATTTGAAGCAAACAGAAAGGCCATTACCAGCAACAGCTTATCCTAATGTCCCTGTAAGTAATGCTATCATGTTGCAGTTGTTTATCAGTCAATCAGTATGTGATGTTGCAAGAATACTACATTATTATACTACAGTTATCGCGCAAGCTTTGGCATTTGTGACATCATTGTCACCTATGCATGGCTTCATTGTGGCCTCAGCATCGCGTCATTGAAAATTGAAGCTGTGTTCGCCTCACTTATTTTGTGGCATCATCGTGACCTCAGCTTCCAATCTCATGGCATGAACGTGGCATCAGCTTCAAAGTACTGTGGCATCAGTATGACTTCATTATTTGCACACAGAAAGGCAATGGAGAAAAATGCATGTACAGAAGATCAATATGTAATCGATCCTCAAAAGAGCGAGCCAAAGATCGAGCTCGGCGTGATCAGTTAGATATGGTGCACCTTACTAAACTTGGCTTGATCTCGGGTGCGACTGGTATTTCTTAACACAACAAAACAGAAAACATTGCTTCAGTGTGCTTACATGAATGTTGATTAAATAATAAGTTCGAAATGTGTGTTGTGTTGATTTCAGCATTAAGATTTGTCAGATTGAATTATTTTCGAAAGAAAAATGGAAAGCTGTTAGCTGGTTGCCATGACGCCGACTTTTGATGGCACCACCAGCCAATGGAAGCTATGGATTTACGTAATTCTGTTGTTACTTTGTTGATCGAATTTTTTGAAACCAACACTCAATCTTTCTCTTTCAATCTCTTCCCGATGTCTACCTGCTTGATTCTAATGGCCGTCAAGGAAAAATTTATCGCTGAACAAAATCAGTCAATCTTGATAGTTGGACAGGGTCATGCATTATTTAGCTTGAACTTTTAGATGAATACAGCTTGCATGTAAGACAGCAAAGAGTATCTGTGTGAATACATATACGGCTGACTATGATACTTCTCAGCATTGTTTACATATGTGAATTTAATACTTTTTTTGATGAAGGATGCTGATGCTACATTGTCGCCATAATGAGGCCACAATGAAGCAAAGCGATATCCACCTCAACTTTTTAATGTTGCAACATTGAAGCAATAACAATGCCATAATGATGCGATGCTGAAGTGATTACAAAGCTTCCGCGATAATTGTTCTGTACCATATATGAACACATTACGTGAATGTATCAAATGTGACGTAATGAATGTCAATGTGGCTGTGTCTTCAATACAAAACTTTCAGTATTCTCTTGATAACAGTATTATCATATATAAAAAATGAGTTAATAAATTTGTGTTTTCAAAATATAATCAAAAATAGCATCATAAAAAGGCATGATTTTTATCCCAACTAGCACTGCATTGTTTTACCAATGACAATTTTGTTTAGTGATAGTATAGATAGTATAGTAGATTAAAAAGTGAGTGACAAACCCAGAAAGATGACTGAAATGCTAAATCTTTATCTGTTTTGATTCAACAGAATACATATGAACGCAATATTATAGAAGAAATGGCACAGGCGATAGAAAATGGAGAATTTGATCTGAATCTTGTAAGTCATCTCAATCTATCATTGTTGTTAATATCTAGGATTTTATCAAACATGACAAGGACACATTACCTGACTGAATACTGTTGATTCACAAATGTAATTGATGTAATCAGTTTACATGTCAAACTTTTATTTATTTAAAGTAGCACCATAGTTTTGACATGCTGAACATTTAATTGTGATTTATCTTCATCTTTCTATCTTCAGAATTGTCACAGTCAATATGCATGGTGCGTATGTTATTGACAATGACTTATTTTGACATTTGTCTTTTTTCCATACACAGGACAAAAAAGAGGAATCAATCCCAGCTGAAAAACCCCAAATAGATGACAATGTGGTAACAGAAAGCAAAGAATCAGCAGCTCGACAAATTAAAGAAAACTTAGATAAAGACAATTTTGATTTTGATCTTGACCAGGATATTGAGAACATGAAGTTAGATGAGAATATTGACACATCAGACATCAATCTGGATGAAGATCTTTTAGAGGATTAAATCTTCTAAACTTTTCTAGAAAAGACTTTTTAAAAGTTTTCTCTCTAATCATAGTAGCTTTTATTGGTAGGTGATGTGTATTCTGGGTGTTAAGCTATATTTGTCTGTATATAGAGACCTCTATATTATCATGAGGATTAATTCAAGTAATATGTAAGGAGTATCTGTTCAGCCAATATTCTATTATGTCAGCTTTTCACTTGTTACTTAAAATAATGTATATATCTTAATCATACCCCAATTCTGTCACTTGTTGTGGCACTTTTTATCTTTCTTTTTTTTCTTCATATAATATTTGTTTCAAAATCCATAACCATAAGTAGGAAAAGCTAGTTTGGTGCGAAATAAAAGTGAATCTTGGCAAACATAATTTTGAGAGTTGAATTTTCTATCGGAATGTTTCACTGGTTTTTTAATCAAAGCTTAACAGTGACTATTGTGAAGGGGGAGTCCTTGCAAACACCCTCAGATTGTCAGGTCTTGTATATTTTATGTGGCTACAATATGGTTTATTGTGTGTCTACAAATTGTTGGTGATGGTCGTGTTTATACTATTTATTTGGATGCTTGAACCAAAATGATATCTCAGTACTATGAGGTAGGAGAAAATATTATATGCTGAAAATGACTGTTGTTTTTAACAGTGAAGTATGACTATTGACAAGTGTTCATTCTATCGCCTTACTGCAATGGCAAAGACTTCTGATACAATTTGGTTCTATTTTGTGTGTGAATAGCAGTTTGCTGACAAAAATCTTCTTTGATTACTGTTTAAAAGTAGCAAATATTCACTAGGTTTCAGTTTTTCCAGTAAAATTTACAACTTTAAAATAAAAATCATAATTAAATTGAAACCTAGTGCTGACTGCACAAAGACATAATTGTGTAAATCAATTCTGTAATATTTTGGTTTCATCGTGGTATGGGTCCATGTGAGGTATACAATGCATTGTGTAGGCAACAACTGGGGTTTTAAACAAAGTGAAGATTTATCTGCTGAGTACACTGCCCTCTTCAGGTGAAGCAGTGAACGAGTGAAATTTCAAATCAATATTTCCCATGCATTTTACGCTGACTTGAGGGATTTTTTTTATTGTTGGTTTATATTGTTTATTTTCTGAGTATTTATTGTGGTAAACAGATTGTATCCTAATGGGTGCACATCGTATCTGAGATAAACTATATTGGTTTTACAAGTAAAACACTAGTGACTACAATACTCTGTACATTTCAAATAACAATAATTGTAATTCAGTACAGAATTGGGTTATTAAAAGAAAAAGTATGCTGCAGTTTGTTTTTTGCTTTCATTTATTTGATAGTAAACTGTTTAGAATGTTAGATGGCATTGGAGAGTGCTGACAATGAGGTGATTAGTTCAAAAAAGAAATCTGTTTTTGGTCTGCATGTTTTATTTTATTTTTGTGAGCATTTAAAAAAAAAAAACTTAAAACAAAAGAAGGGAAAGATTAAAAACTGAGTTTAGCCAGTATTCATTGAATTTGATTGAAGGTGGAAAAAATATACTTCATACTCGTGCTATAATTTCCTGTCAACTGTCCAATGCCAATTACAGATTGGGAAACTAGGGACAGCATGCACCTATATTGAGATGAATACAGTTATCCTGCAGAAATAAGAACTGAATCTTTTACATGCTCTGAGGATAGGGACAGTACACAGGACTGATGATTGGCAGGTATTTTTGAAAATCCTAATAGTCATAAATATTATTTTGAATGAACTTGTCAATAATGAATAGTTCTGAGCAAAGAGCCTTTCTAATCAACTCTTCAGATGTGAGATAATTCTGTGATTTAAAAGATAATTTCAGTTATGATTGTTCATGTGATACAGCCATGTTTTGTCAAACACAAAATTGAATGTGAAGCGCCCTCTATTGACAAGAACAAAAACTACAGGATTATCACCCCCTACCCTCTCCCATTTGTAGTTTGAATAGTTGTGTCACTTGATGATCTGGGTGATATTGAAAAGAAGTTAACTTCAGTATAGCAAATGTTATTTCACCAAATATCTCTGTACTCCATAACTGCAAATGCCGCCTCACAATGTACAGTGATTCTGCATGGTTTCTGTAAACAGTCAGTGAGCCCACCAATACGCGATCACTAAAACATGATCGCTCTTTATACTAAGCGGCGTCGGTGGATGAATTTGAAAGCTAGATGCCAAAATAATGTCTGGTAACATCTCAAACGAATCGCCGTGAATTTTTACTTGAGTGTGAAAGAAAATATGAAATGAGCCCAAATAACGAAATCCTCTACTGTCCCAATAAGAGATCACGTTTTAGTAAATATCAACGTCATTTACAAATAAAAATCACGAAGATGCACAGATTGACCAGATAATGACTTTCTCAGGATCATTTCATAGGTGTCAATTACAATAATGCACCTTGAGTCATAGGCGCTTGGCACAAGTCCAATAATTTTACAGTAAAATGATAATAAATGCATGTAGTAGATACATTCAAAGTTGTATTTGTTATTTATTTGCCTCGACGCTCATTAGTTAGTAATTTCGATTCTAAACACAAGTGTTTTCAGCAAAAAAAACACCCAGCTCACAACTTTCGCAACCAGTGAGCGCACCCGCCGGCGGGCGATGCATTTTATTCAGCTTTTTCCGGTATTTGGCTTTGAAAATAAGGAACTGTGTAAAAGCATAGACCCTCAACAAATTTGTTGAGGGACTATGGTAAAAGTAAATAAATGCTACACACTTCTAAACCAAACCATTGATAAATGACCACCCACTTCTAAACAAAATAGCGTGAAATGACACCCCAGTCGGGCGGCACATACTCGTATTGCACTTCTATGCAAGTAGCCCCCCCCCCCCCCCCCGATAAATATTATTACTAGCAATACAGAACAGAAGTACTGCCAAAAAATGTAATACAATATATTCGTAATGGCTTTCTGTCAGTAGGCGGCTTATTAGCAAACGTTAAATGCATATATATATTACAGCTTTCATGTTTGGTCAAAGATCATAACACGTGACTGGTTTCTTGTCGCCCGAATCAACGTTATCTCCAACATTGCTGAAGTAATATCCCATAATTCCTTGAGGCAATTACTGTTATATGGACTTTGGACACAATTCACTACCAATCGGTGTGAATGTCGACCGTTTGTGAAATCATTCACCCGTGTTTGAGCGTCCACAGTTAAAATGGTAAGTGTTCAGAACAAATAATATTGCAGCCGACGACAATAAAGTAGAAGTTGTCTGATAGTTACTGTGATTGTTATTCAGTTAGGCGGGATAATGAGTGTCGACATCCAGTTCGTACCGGCACCCACCCGGCACTGTGCCTCGAACATCCAAAGCCGGTGACCCGACGAGGATGTGATACCACGTCAATGTCTGAGAAGATAAACTAATCTTGTGTAGTAGGAAAACGCACATACATATAATAGTGCATGGACAAAACGAAAACCATTTATGTGCACGCGTACCTAATCTTTGGCATTTGACCTGAAAATACAGCCACCAAATTATAGGTCTTATACCACCATTAGATTCCATGTAAACACTTTGCAGAGCTGGGAAGTTTTACACATTTTTGTCAAGGACCAACAATTTATAACACTTTAAAAGTTTTTAGTTTTTATGAGTGAAAATACACAGTGAATGATGTCACAGTACTTACAAAACTTAATCAACCATACAGCAAGCTAATGAAGCTAAGACCAAGAGAAAAAAAAAATTCCCAGTCAAATAGTTTTCTCAAATTTTACTGTCACTGCCATATTGTTCCAAACACAAAAACAACAACATTGCCAGTTGCTGACTGGTCTACAAAATAAACTGTTAGAAATAAAGTTTGAGTCATAAAGTAGTATTACTAAATATATTGTTTCTTTTAATGAAAACACAGTAATATTTATTCTACATAAATATAGGAATATTAATGATTATATTTACATTTTTAGCTCAAAATAATGCCTGCCTGCACATATTTATATAGTTTCATTGAAAAAAAATTTTAGTTTGATAAATCACAATACACTGAAAATTAAGACATAATATCAAACATATTTGAGTTTATAATTACTAAATCTAAAACATGTTTTCTTTTTACAGCCAATGAAGTTTGGAATAAAGGTGAGTCTTAAATGCTAATTTCATTTTTGATTGGTTGGTCACATTCTCATAACAGTTGCTTGTCGTCTATGATACAGTTTGTAGAATACATCATGCATCATAAAGTCACACATTATAATGTCATATTGTTCTTTGCATGTAGCGGGTTTTCTCTGCACGAACTACCCGAGTCAAATGTATAGATATTCACCCAAGGGAACCATGGGTACTACTGAGCTACTTCACAGGAAGTGTCCAAATATGGAACTATACAACAAAGGTAATTAACATATTATCCAAATAAGGAACTATAGAACAAATATAAATAACATATTATCCAAACATGGAACTATCCTACAAAGTAATTAGCATATTATCCAAATATGGAACTATGCTACAAAAGTAATTAGCATATTATCTAAATATGGAACTATGCTACAAAGGTAATTAGCATATTATCCAAATATGGAACTATGCTACAAAGGTAATTAGCATATTATCCAAATATGGAACTATGCAAAAAAAATAATTAACATATTATTATTATTATTATTGTGTAATATGAAAAAAATAAATGCTTCTTGTAAACTGCATGATTTAATTGTTCATGCTTTTTGTCTGGAAGACTTAAATGTGCATTATAGGATGTGTTGCCAGTGAGGCTTAGAACATGACCTTTGACCTCTTAATTTCAATATCACATGATGCAACCGATTCAAAAGCTGACTTAATTATCCAAGGAATAAATATTTACACATTTACTTTTTTCAGACATTAATAAAAACATTTGAAGTCATTGACTTACCAATAAGAGCTGCTAAATTTATTTCACGGAAAAACTGGTTTATAACAGCATCAGTAAGTATAGCATATTGAAACTTTGTGTAATCTGTGTCCCATATACCATGGTTTGAAATACTGTGTAATCTGTGTCCCATATACTATGGTTTGAAATACTGTGTGTAATCTGTGTCCCATTTACTATGGTTTGAAATACTATGCGTAATCTGTGTCCCATATACTATGGTTTGAAATACTGTGTGTAATCTGTGTCCCATATACTATGGTTTGAAATACTGTGTAATCTGTGTCCCATATACTATGGTTTGAAATACTGTATGTAATCTGTGTCCCATATACTATGGTTTGAAATACTGTATGTAATCTGTGTCCATATACTATGATTTGAAATACTGTGTGGTCTGTGTCCCATATACTATGGTGTGAATTACTGTATGTAATCTGTGTCTCATATACTATGGTCTGAAATACTGTATGTAATCTGTGTCCCATATACTATGGTTTGAAATACTGTATGTAATCTGTGTCTCATATACTATGGTTTGAAATACTGTATGTAATCTGTGTCTCATATACTATGGTTTGAAATACTGTATGTAATCTGTGTCCCATATACCATGGTTTGAAATACTGTGTGTATTCTATGTCCCATGTACTATGGTTTGAAATACTGAG